TTTTTCAGAATTTTCGATGGTGTACAAAAACGAATTTACAATGGTTTGTCAACCAATTTACCATGGGACCAAATATACAAATATGCCATGATAGATAGAAAAATACGAGTAATAATTTGCCACGGTAAAAAAAATACCATGGACTGTTCAGAAAAATTGCCATGCATTGTTAAAAACATAATAAAGAAAAATTTAGCATGGATTGTTCGATAAATTTGCCATCGTCCAAAAAATAAAATTTTCAATGGTTTTAAAAGTAAAATTTGCCATGGTCCAAAAAAAAAAATTCAATGGTTTTAAAAGTAAAATTTGCTATGCTTTGTTAAGTGGATTTGTCATCGCTGTAAATCAAATTTGCCATGGCGCAAAAAAATGGATTTTCCATGGTAAAAACATTACATGGTCTAAAAAAAATCATGCCAAATTTGATTGCAATGGTACATTAGGTTCCCCTCGACAGCGCATCCAAACAAGTGGTTGTCGTCTACAAAGGCCATGCTTCTTTCTCTAGTTGTGTCGTCGCCATCAAGCACACCTCCCCGCGCCGCATCGAGATGCACAACAAGATCCACATCCTCACCTTTGTCCATGGCTCGTGTCTCGTTACATCTTCGACTACTCCAACTCCGCCAGCCCTGGGGACCACCTCGCGCAACACCGGCCACCAATAGCTCATAGATCCTGCCACCACCAATGCGGCTCTGGCCAGCAGCACCGCCCCGAACCTAACCTTCCTACACGCTGCACCGCACGCTTGAATAAACGCCGGGAAACGACGACAAAATGTCGGGCTACCGTATTCGTTGTCAGAATAAGAAGAGTGAATCGGTGACAAAGGAGGACATGTGGAGGAGAAATGAGGAATGGTCAGAAGACAACGAAGAGGTAAATGGGGAATGGGAATGACGTGAATGTTTGCTCGGTTGCGCGAACTGTTCTAACGCTGAAGTGGCATAAGCTTTGCTTTGAGATCGGTGCTAGATGATCCAACGGTACAACAGCGTCCGATCTGAACAGGAAAAAAAAATCCGATATCAGGCTTTTAGCATCTCCAATAAATAATAATGAAAATTGCCGCTCTTGTGTGGTGATTCTCGGAGCATTTGCCAGCTGATTTGCTGTGCGTGCATTTTTCTTCCACGATCAGCTTTTTAGTGATGTTTATTTGTTTGAATGAAAGAGAGAAAAAAAAGCTTTTGAGGCATGTTTCCATATGAACAGTGATATTCATGTACGCATCTATCAGTATCCTGGCAGGTAGACGTAGATTACGTCGGCGCGTTGATGCCCTTGAGAGCTGATTCTGTTTCTCATCTCATCTCAGTAAAGAAGAAGCAAGTGCCAAAAGAATAGTGTAGGAAGGAACTGAAATGCATGCATGGAAAGCCAAGTCCTGCGCGTCAAGTACGGTAAACAACGAAGTAGCATTTGATTTTGGAACATGGGTTGGTTGGGGTGGAGATCAGATCCCAGCGATAGCAACAACGGCCATTCAGCGTGCCTGTTGGAACTTGCTTCATCCCATTGGGACCGAACGACGTGCAGAACGCGACGAAGAAGAACAACAACCCTGCATGGCTGCATCCGAATCCAACCCACCCGGTTCGGTCAAAAGTGAGGGGCATTGCCACTGGCCGGTGCCAGAATTACTATGCAGTTTTTGGCAACCCCAAGCATGTCCAACGTTTAGTTCTTCTCCATCAATGAGGATAGGCAATGTATCGCTGCCTCACCAGATTTTGCGCATGCACACAGCGCTCCGTTTTGCTTTGCTTGCCAAGGTTCCTTCTTTCTCAGCAAGGAGATCATCTTTTTTGCCTCAGGGTTCTCTTTTTCAGATAGAGAGAGAGGAGTGGTTAAGTTTTCTCCCCTTTCCTTTTGTTAATCCCATGGAGGAGCATTGTCAGCCCTGCATGCACTACCTATTTGCTACTACTTCAACGAGCGGTCAATTTTCAGTACGTATATGAAGTGGGAGCATCAGTCCATACTGTATATAGACAATGCTTCACGTTCAGAGTTGGGGAAAAAAACTGTATTCGTCACATGGCAAAAGCTATATTGGTGATACGACAACAACTATAAACATTTTTGCCATGGCAAAAAAATTATAAACAAATAAAAGTTGACAGGGCTTGCTATTTTGATTGAATTATTTGACGTGTTTTGTGAACCTAGATATGCTTATTCAATTGTTCCCAACAATGGGAATCTAGATTTGCCAAATATGCGGGAAATTGGGAGAAAAAAAGTAAAAATGACATGGCTTGTTTTTAGTGAAATTTGATCTATGGGTCATGGCAAAAGCATTAAAAATGCTATTTAAAAAAATTGTTCTATACCAAGTGACATGGCACTTTTTCTTTAAAAAAGATTATGGCAATTGAAAAAAAAAACTGCTATAAAGATTTTCTTAGTGTTCCAAGGTAGATGGCAAATTTGTAAGGACATAGTACTGGTCTAATGGCAAACACAAATATGAATTTCGACTAGTTTTGATTTCACATACACGGTTATTAAAAAATCATTTTATTTTCGTAATCTCCGGTGGAATCATACTCATATACTCCCTCCGTTCACTTTTATACACAGTGAACAGAGGGAACTCTTCACTTCCACTCAAACAATCGAGGGCCAAAAAGATTGCCATTTACACAATTGCCATGGCATGTCGCATTTTCTTGCATCAGACAGTGAAATGTCTACAAATTGCCATGTGACTAAGATATAATTAAAAATGGTACCTACCACAAAATGCCATGCGCTTAATCAAATTTGCCTGACGCATAAGTGTGACATTTGAAAAACATTGTATGCAAAATTTCCATAGGCTTGGTCAATTTCGAAATTCTACATACTACTGAAAGTTCATATTCTGAGGCCAAGGACACAACTAAACCTAAACATCGTCTGAGCGTAATCAAATTTTGTTGCGCGTGGAGGAGAAATGAGGAACGATCGCAAAACAATGAAGAGGCAAATGGGGAAGAAAGGGAGCGACGTGAACGTTCGCTCGGCTGCGCGAGCGATTGCAACACTGAAGTAACATGAGTTTTGCTTTACGATCCGTGCGAGATAATCCAACGGTACAAAAGGTGTTCGATCTGAATAGAAAGAAAACAAAAATCTGATGTCAGATTTTTAGCATTTAGAATATATAATAATGAAAATTGCCGCTCTTGTGTGGCGATGCTCGGATCATTTGCTGGCTGGTTTGTTGTGCATGCACTTTTCTTCCATGATCAGCTTTAACCTGGATGTAATTTTTGTTATTTCTGATGTTCATTGTATTGCCATGATTGACGATGAATATATAGGGATTTTTTTTCTAAAAAAAATGATGTTTATTTATCGTATGGAAGAAAAAACTTTTTAAGGTATGTTTTCTTATGAACAGGTATATCTATGTAAGTATGTATCAGTATCCTGGCAAGTAGACATAGATTGCGTCGGTGCGTGGATGCCCTTGAGAACTGATTCTGTTTCTCACCTCATCTCAGTAAAGAAGAAGCAAGTGTCAAGAATTTTTTTTGGGAAATAGCGTAGGAAGGACCTGACATGCATGCATGGAAGCCGTGTCCTGCGCGTCAAGTCCAGTAAAAAAAACGAAGTTAGTAGTAGATCTTGGAACATGGGTTGGTTGGTTGGGGTGGGGATGAGATCAGATCCCACAGCAAATAGTAACGGCCAATCAGCGTGCCCGACCGTGCGATCGATCACGCGGAGGCGGACGCGACTCGAGCGAGTCCGGTCAATGGGCTTCGGTCTTTAGTTTACTCCAGCTCTGTGGAGCGACGAATCGCGCAGCTCCTTCTTCTGTTCTGCCACCACGTGGCCGCGGATCAACAAGTTTGCCGCAATCCCATTGGGACACAGCGGCGAAGTGAACGACGTGCAGGCCGCGTGAAGATGAGCTGAACCAGATCAAACCAGCCCGGTTCGGTCAAAAAGCGAGCGCATGTCTTGGCCGGCGCCAGAATCACCAGGCAGTTTCGGGCAAACCCTACCTTGTCCAAAGTTTGGTTCTCCATGAATGAAGATGGCAATGTATTTTTGGCCTCACCAGATTCTGCACTGCACATGCACACAATGTCTCATTTTGCTTGCTTGTGTTCCTTGCCTCTGAGAAAGGAGATTATCTTTTTCGCTTTAGGGTTGTCAGAAAGATAGGGGGCATTGGTTAAGGTCGTCTAAGGGCCCTTTTTTGTTTGCCTGTTGCTCTGATGGAGGTGCATTTGTGAGCTGCTATCAACCTATCATTTCTACAGTTTGTACAACTGCTTCTACCAGTGGTTGATTTCAGTATGGCCAAGTAGCACTCCGTACCCTGAAAACGTACGTGCCTACCTGCTACCGTGCTACGTGAACGAGTGGTCAATTTTCAGTACGTTTGATGAAGCAGCACTCCATACCCTAAATAGACCATGCATGCTTCACGTTCAGAGTTGGGAAATTGTGTGCTGCTGCTGCTGTTGCCGCGTTCCTTCCCAACGAAGGAACTGATGGATCCACCACGCGGACCGGCGGTCAAAGACCAGACCCCTCTCTCCACTCCACTGAGCTGTCTGCGCAGCACCGCAGTGCAGCCCGTGCATGCATGAGCTAGCTAGCTAGCTAGCTAGCAGAGTGAGCTGAGTGAGCTACGTGAGTGGTCACCTCACAGATCAAAATCACGTCGGACCGGACCCGGACGGCGACAGATCAGCTACTCGAGCGTACGTACACGGAAAGCTCCGTCGCGTCGCGCCCGGTTTGCTTGCCGGCCCCGGTTGACCGCCCGGCCGTGACCGGCCTTGACCCGCCGGTCCACACTCCACACTCTGTCTCCCATCGCACGCGGCCACTCCGCTAGCTCATCTCCTCGGCTATATAGCCCGGCCCGGCGCTCCTCGTTTCGCCACACTTCCATCCACTCCCCTGCTTCCTCATTAGCTCAAGTTTCTTTCAGCTCCCCCTATTGTGCCTGTGTGTGTGTGAGAGAGAGACAGAGTAGCCTTGCCATGGGGAAGAAGCAGAGCGGCAACGGCGGCGTGGAGAAGGTGGCGGCAAGGGAGTTCTCGCTCAAGGTGGCGATGCACTGCCGGTGCCACGGGTGCACGGACAAGCTGCGCGCGGCGGTGCGGGACCTCACGCTGGCGCCGGGGGTCGAGGCGGTGGACCAGGCCGCGGCCGAGGCCACGGGCGAGGTGCGCGTGCTGGCCACGGCCGACCCCGAGCGGCTCCGCAAGGGCCTCCGCAAGGCCACCGGCAAGAAGGTGGACCTCGTCTTCCCGCCCGCCAAGGAGCGCAGGAAGGGGGAGGGGGAGGACGCCCGGGCCGCCGACGCCGCCGCCGTCCAGGCCCTGCTCGCCGACCTGCAGCTGCACCACCAGTACGGGGGCCAGGCGGCGGCGCGTCACCAGTACGGGGGCCAGGGCGCCGCGGCCGCCGCGTGGGCGGCCAGCCAGCAGCACCAGCAGCAGCTGCTCGGCCTCGGGGGCGGGTGGAACGGCGGCGGTGCTGCCGGGGGCTACGGCGCGGCGTACCCGTGGCAGCCCTCCTCTGCGGCCTCCTACTACCCGGCTGCGCCCGCCGCTGGTGCTGGTTGGGGCGCGTACGGCGGCTACGGGTACGCTCCTCAGGCGCAGGCTCCGGCCCAGGGCCACGGCGGCTACTACCGCGCCAGCTCGCCGGCGTGGCACGGCCAGGGCTACTGATCGGTCGACAGTGTGTGACCGCTCGACGTGGGATCATACCGGAGCAGCAGATGACGATGGCATACACTCCATATGCGTACTCCTTTTGTGGTACTAGTAGACTAGTAGCATATCTCAGTTCAGTTAAGTTAATTGGTAGTAGCAATCGGCCGGATGATCGAGCGGTGGTAGTAGTAGCAGCGATCGATGCTAAATCCAGGGAGCAGATATACTACTGCTTCCTTTGTTCTTCGTTCATGTATATTTTGCGGTTGAGTGATTGAGTTCCCTATATATGCATATGAAAATCCTTGGAGTTTCTACTGAAGTTGCTTCACTGTCGTCGTTTTCTTGTGTCCAAAGTTTTGTTGTCCTGTCCTGTCCTGTCCGGAGGTCCAGCAGAGAAAGATACTCCCCCTTCTCCCCTGACCCTGGAACGATTAGGACCCTTCCCCCTTCTTCCCCTCTCTCTCCATCGATCGAACAGTCACGGGCGTGTTGTGAATTTGAGATGGTACACGGTAAGCCCAACTCCTGCGCTTCACCTAAATTTCATAGCAAAAAAGGCATAAACTTAAACTTAAACTAATAAATTTAACTTAGTCCAAAAGTACCGGTTGAATTATCCATCATACATTTAACTTGAAATTAAACTAAAAACATTTTTAAAAAACTTTAATACAAACCCTTAACCGGTTGCCGCCGCCGTCCTTGGCCGTCTTTACTGCCTGTCGTCGCCGCCGTCTTCCTCGTCCGGTGGCGCCTGCAACCGCTGCGGTGGTTGCCCTGCAGGGGCCGCGGCGCCTGCATTTGCATTGGCACGAGGGCCTGTGACCACGTATCGGCCCCTACCCACACGGCTCCCGCCACCAACTTCGGCGCCCGTGATGGCCACCATCGTAGTCCACGTCCAGTACTGGTCTACCAACGCCAAGTTCCATTGCATCTCTGTCCCACTGGGCACATCAAGGCCGTTCCATTGCACATCAAGGCCGTCCCACTGGGCACGCTCGGACTCGACCGCCTAGTCCTTGAGCACCTTTCTCACCAACTCCTCCTCCTCTTTGGCCATCATGGCCTGATGTGGTGGGGCGGGGGCGCACTTCGCCG